ATGAAGGAATCAGCCACCTCACCAAATTTATCAAAAAAAACGCCAAAGGCCTTCATGATGAAAGAAATCTGGAATGTTGAAGATAATAATCGTAAAACAATCTTTCCCAACATAACCTCTCGCCATACTCTCCTTCGTTGAATCTGATTGCAAATGTTAAAGTTATGCACGTCCTTTTTGTGTTACCAAGATGAAGTTCTTCATCTAAATATTTGATTACGGTGATCGAACATCAAAGAATTATCATAAATGATCCTTTAGAAGTGCATAAAGAAAGAGAGATGATATACAAATGATAAGGCGAAGGCTCAATTAAATTCCAAGGGTATGCATATTTTCTTTTAGTTTTATCAAAAATCTTCAATCGACTTTCTTCTCGTGGAAGGGCGGAAGAAATTTGAGATAAATTAAATAAAATCTATGGAACCAAGAGGGAATAAAAGGAGATCAAATTATGTTATGATAGTCGACGCTTAACAAGTGACACAACTATTATTTATAACAAACTTCAAATCTAAATTTTGAAGTTACAATGGTTGATCGTGTGGATTAGGGTCATACTCAAAGTTACTGTTGCTGCTAGGGATTATTGATTTGTTGTGATGAACCAGTCTGATTTGTTTAACGATTACCTAGTAGCGATGTTGTTTGTAGGTCAATGTACAATGATCGTGTGTTTATGGTGTTTTTCTGGTATTTTGTCGGGTTGTAACCGGTTGCAATCAGGAACGGACGTAAAAATTTATATCATAGACGCAAACTTAAGAATTTATATTAAAAGTTTTGAGGGGATACGAAATTATATAATAAATAGAAAATAAAAAAAAATTAAAATATTAGGGAATTTGAAAATTTTAGGTTATAGAATTTTACTTGTATTATTGGTCATTGTTTAGGGGAAATTTGGTGTTTGATTTGTTCTGGGTTGTATTATTGGTCGGAATAAACATTCATCCTCAGAGTTCAGGTGAACAAATTTCACTTGATTTAGTCTGTTATTTCCGATGTTGTGTTGGTTTTGGCTATAATTCTTTTTTCTTTTTATGAACAAGACTTTAAGGTTTTGGATTTTCACCATCTAATGTCGAAATAAGTCAAGCTACAGGTCAATTTGTTGTATCAAGTGTTATTTTTAATGTGGTAAACTGACTCAAATTAAGATTTTATATGTTACAAGAATTTAAGTTTTAAAATGCACTATTTCTTATGGTTTTATTGAATTTATAAACTTTAAATCCTAAATTTTAAATTCATGTCTCATTTAAACCTTAATCTCAGTTAAAAGTGAAAATTTGATCGAGTTGAGTTATTTAAATTTAATAATATTTTAATATTATGATACTATTTGATTTCAATTTAAATAGTTTATATATTCAGATTTGTTTCGTATGTATTATACATATCAATTTTCCTGACATTGTATGGCATTAATGTTTTACTTTTATCAATTTAGTTATTTTTATATTTTTGAATTAAATTTGATCCTTAACCGTCCAAAAATAATCATATCGATACTTTTCAACAAATTGTGAGGCAGTAAACGTATACTTTAACAAATAATTTTTTTTGGATAAGTACTTTAACAAATAATTTAAAAATTAATAAAATATTAAAAATGTGTACCGAGATAGTTACGGAAATATTTTTGCATGTTTTTATATATTATTTTTAGGTTTTGATAAGAACATAAATGTAAAAACTGGGTATAAAAATTATTAAAATTTATTTTAATTTTATGTTATTAAATAGAGTTAAATCGATATTTTGTTTGATTATTTTTCTGTTTTTTTTTTAAAATTATGTGTAAAGCATATTAATCGGGTAGGAGCCAGATTTTAATGTTCTGTTTTTAAATCTGATTTTAGGGTCGGATTGATGACTACATGCAAATATCACTCTAAAATATATTCTGCTAACATATAAACTTATTACAGATTATATATGATTAATTGGATTTTCATATAATTCTACTTTTAAATTGTATAATACATAATATATAATATTTATACATATGAAAAAAATCTGAATATATAAACTATTTAAACTTATTTAAATTTAAATAGTTGATATCAATAAACTATATAATTTATACATATTATATAAATATAAGTTGTATATATTTAAATATAATTCATATATAAACTATATAATTTATATTAATAAACTATATAGTTTATATATAATTCAATAGTTCATATATAAACTCTATAGTTTATACATGGTATATATAGTTTATATATATATATATATATATACTATATAGTTTATATTAATAAACTATATAAACTATATATATAATTTATATATACTTTATATATATACTATATAGTTTATATTAATAAACTATACATATTATAATTGTTTTAATTTTTTTCTCAAGTTTTGAAATGAATGCAATTTAGTATATTTTACAGATTTTCTTCACATTCTTCAATTATTTTGTTTTGATCCCTTTATGTTGTTTAATTTATTTAAATTTATGTTTGTAATTTCATATTTGTTCAATTTAGTCCTTAAAATTATATTTGTATATGAAATTGACCCATAATTATTACTTATTTATATTTTTAATTGGCCCATAACTTTTTAAATGGGTATAATTTACTACTTTTTATATTAATGTCAACCTCATATTTTAAAATTATTTTGATTTGGTCCCTCATCAATGTGTGTTGTTTAATTTATTTAAATTTTTACTTGTAATTTCATATTTGTTCAATTTAGTCATTAATTTTATATTTTTCATAAAATCGATCCATGATTATTTATATTCTTAGTAATTTACTATAAATCATATACAATTACAACTTGCAATTCAACGTTCGCGAAAGACGAAAATAATTAATCCAAAAATACAAATTGACCCAATTTGAACTCAATCCGTATCTAATAAAGATCTGACCTGAATTTTATCTTCCAATGATGTCACCCAATCTGAATGAGATATGTCTGAAGTCCATCCGAACCTGAATTAACCTGGTCTTTATCTGCTCCGGACCTGAACTGTTTTGACATGAACTGACATCGATCATAACTGAAAGTAACCCGAACTGTACCTGGTGTCAAATCAACCTGAAAATGACCTGACCTGATTTGACCTGGACTCAGCCTGATCTGAGTTGAAGCATCAAATTTACTTGACTTGACTTGTATCCGATTTTACTCGACCTGACAAGATCCGACTGAAATCTGAATGATTACTCGATTTTACATCCCTAGTACAATCGACCTCGTATTTGTTTAGTTTCTATTATACCAACTTGCAGTTTATGAAATAATTTTTTTTAGTATTTTGAAGCAAGCAGTTTATATTAAGAGGTTAACATTATACTCATTAACTAGGTTAAATAATATTTTTCATAAGTTCTAGGTGTAAGTTAGGGGCTATTACCTTTTTTTAATAAAAATATCTGTTAAAATATATAGTGTCATTATTATTAGATTTTTAAATTTTATTTTTCTTTTGGATAAGAAATTAATGTTCTTATCTCTTCAAAACATGAGAAATACTTATTACAAGAATAAGATTATTATAAACTTTGTAAAATTAATTTTCCTATGAATATATAATAGAATGAATGTTTCTAAAAATAGTTTCAGATGATTATATATAAGATGGTATGTATTAAAAATTAATTAATTGACAATGTATATACACCTTCTTTAGATACAATTATTTAAATTTAAAATCTCTAAAAATATATTTTCTACCACTTAGAGGAGTTAAAATATAGAGTGAATTTTAAGGTAAACTAATCATGATTTAATTGGCATGAAATGTTAATCTGTGCTACGACCAAGGGGTAACGAAAGACCTTACTAAGAGTTTATAAGAAAATGTATATATGGATGAATATGAGTTAAGTTTCTGTATTAGTCAAAATCTTGTATAATTCTGATTTGATTTAGATTTAGAAAAATTTTATTTGATTAGACTTATCTTGATATATATATACATATAATTATTTAATTACATTGTATAAATCTCTTTTAATTTTACAAAAATTAGAATCATTGGATGAGTAAAAATAGATGGTTGAGATCAACAATAGGAAATGTGAAGATATTCACTGGAAAACTGAGTTAATCTAAGTCATCTATTTCACTATCCAATGGTCCTAAATTTGTGTAAAATTAAAAAAATTATATATATATATATAATTTTCTATTTTATTTGATAAAATAGGGACCTAATTAGAAAATATAGAGAGATAGATACTATCATAGTTATTTCTAAATATATAAAAGATAATTACACTATTATCTTAGGTCAAATCGAGATTTTTCACCCTAAATCTGAACCTAATCTTATAATCAAAAAGTGGACCTAAATATAATTGTTTTTTTAAATGACTATATAAGATCATATCTAAATTTGTCAAATTCTAGTCATGCATCCATCCCTACATATGTATCTCTTTAAAAGTATTAGTAGTAAAAGAAAGTATTATCTCTCTAAAAATATTGAATTTGAGCAACTATATATAGAGTATATATACTTTGTTGATAGTAATCAAATTTGATTTATTAACTTAATTCATTAATTGTTAATTGGAGAATTAATTAGACATATCGTTGCTCTTAAATATTTCTCTTATCAGAAAAATATAATCAGATATACTACCAATGATGATATATATTTCGTTGTTCTCTACGTTGAGTTGATTTAGTGGGATGATGTACTAAATCTGTTAAATAAGGTTAAGAGTTTGAATCTTAACAATTAAAAATGGAGTAAATTGAGTTAGGAGTGTCACAATTGCCTCTGCAGTATCCGATCCGAATTAATTGATTAATAAATTGAATACCGATTGTTATAAAAAAAGTAAAGATAATGATAATATATATATATATATATATATATATATATATATATATATATATATATATATATATATATATATATCTTTTTAAGTTCTATATTTATCATATAAACACTCGATTAACATAATTACACCAAATTCAAACTTAAATATCATATCCATAATGCATAAAACAGTTTAAGCGATTTTGAAATTTATTTCATTACAAGATTCAATGTCCTGGGTCATTTCACATGAACTTAGAAGCTGTTCCAAGTAATCAATTCCTAAATCTTCCAACACGACCAAGTTCTGTTGCTGTCTTCTCTCTCTGGAGACTCCGTTTCCTTCGCTGATGATCTTCTTGTTCTTCGATCTTGTCCTCGAGCTGTGTCTCTTCTTCAGCGCCACCAACGGCGAGCAACCGTCATCGCATCGTATGTTCCGAAGCGATTCCATGACCACTTCGACCGGGAAATTAAGCTTTGCCGATGATCCTCTCGTCGAGAGCGCCGCCTGGTCGTAAACTAAAGCGGCTTTTTCCGCACTGTGGAATGTTCCGAGCCAAACCCTAACATCATTCCTCGTCGAATCCCTAATCTCGGCGGCGTATTTCCCCCATGGCCGCCTCCTTACACCGATGTAAGCCTTTTCTTTCTTGGGTAACTCTTCGTTATTAGCAATATCCGATGTAACAACGCCATTAATGGAGCTGTTGGACTGATCTGAGGCCGCCGCCATATCCACCGCAGCCATTTCTTCAAAGTCATCGAAGTTGAGAAGAAGCTCGTCCCAGCAGCCGGAAAAAGTATCCGGTGACAGTGATCCAAACGGTGATTCGGACAAGAAGTCTTGACTTGTTGAGGTTGAATAATATTGAAAGAAACAAGACTCATCCATTGAGGTTGTCTTGTCTGTAAATGCTTGAACTTTGAAGTTCCAAACGCATTATATATATATATACACACACATACATACAAGAATTACTGTTATAAAACGAAACTGCTATTGGGAGAAAACTAGATTAAAATTATAGGGGTAAGGATTTGAAAAAGAACAAGTAAATTGATTGGAGAGTCAGGGATGACGTACGGCGGTGGGGTTAAACAAGAAAATTACATAACTTTATGGTGCATATGTAGTGAGCGGGTTAAATTAGGGTTAAATCATGAGAAAAAGGAAAATGGTGATGCTTTTATGGTATAATCATTGATATATAATATATTAATCAGGATTGATTATTATAGAAATATAATATCGAAACGACTTTCTTAATTCAGTTTGCTCTATTTACAAACGTCACGATTCAAACCTCATACTTTATTTAAGAAATCTAATGTTCCATCTTAATAGAGCAACTAGTTGTTAGTAAAAACTTGGAATGTTTTTTTAAGTAATTAGAAAAGTTATATCTGAACATTATAGATCTTAGGGTAAAGTACACAAACGAGTCCCTTAATTATAGAGTGTTGCTTTATTGAATCCTCCGACTATTAAAAGTTACAAATTGCTCCCTTGACTATAGGGTGTTTCTTTATTGAGTCCCTTGACTATTAAAAGTTACAAAATGATCAACGACTATCCATGTATTCCAAACTCGTCCTTTTTGTTAAAAAATAATGACAATTTGAGTTGGACATTGACATGTTAGCTAAGATGTGATAGTCGTTTGAGATATTAAGATCATATTTTATCATATCACATTTAGTAAGTTAACGTCTAGCTCAGACTGTTGTCAATATTTTAATAGAAAATGATGAATATGAAACATATAAATAGTCATATGACCATATTATAACGTTTAATAGAAAATGACGGGTTTGAAACATATGAATAGTCATATGACCAAAGAAGCAATATTTTACATTGATTGGATATTAATATTTTTAAGTGTTTAATTATATCATTTTTAACTTATTTTAATTGATTATTATCTTATGTGTGTTTGTATTTGTGTTAACACGTTTATTAAATCCTAAAATTATTTTTATTTCAATTCTATTTTATATTTAATCGAGTTTGTGTTAATATGTGTGTTCAACAGGTAAATTTATGTTAATATGTGTGTTCAATAGGTAAATTTGTGTATTTTTTTAGATTAACTAAACATATTTTATTCTTATTCATTTTCATTCGATTTAGTCCTTTATTTTTTGTTTATTCAACTTAGTCAGTATCTCGAAGTAGTTTTTATTCAATTCATTCCACACTTGATTTTTTTGGTTTACTCAATTTAATCCATATTATGAAATAATTTATAGTTGAGCACGACTCGATGAAGTCACCGACAACTTCCATGACAATTGTCTAACACAAGAGATGCAAAATTTGCTAAAATCATTAACATTCAAGGACGAATTTAGTAATCACTATGGAAAACACTATAGTTCTCTATATAATTTTATCACCATTTTTGTTTTCATAACGTGACCATAATTTAACCTAGTGAGCATTTTCTTCATTACAACTTCTAATCAATTAACGGTTGCAATTGGAATTAATTAATAATACAAGGACCGAATCGTATGATTATTTAGTTTCAACAAAAGTAGTATGTACGATCAAAATTTATCATTATAATATTGAATTATATAACTAGTTAAACAATTAAGTTAATTCAAATTGTACTAACTAAAACTAATTCGAAAACCTACATATAATTTGATTTATGCAGTTGGATCGTTAAATTTATATTATAAAAATAATATAATAGCATTGTAATATTAAATTCAAATATCATTATTTAAATTATATTAAATGAATTATTTATTAAATATTTTAAAAATAAAACGGATAATGAACCCAAATCAATTATCTACAAAAATAAAGTAAATTCAAACTCCAAATCAAATGGGATGATATTTAGAAAATTTTATCGAAATGTTATCCAAATTGGTAATATTCCATTAACAGGTTAAAATAATATTTAAAATATTCATTTCTATTTAGAATATTTTATCGAGATATATTCCAAATTTGATTATATTTATCTTGCATCAAAACTATTGATTTGATTTTTTATAAACACGTGTAACTAAAATAAAATAAAAACCATTTATATATAATTATACTGGATTAAATTTTATGTACCATCAAATTTTGTATATAATCTTAAAATTTATCCTTTAAGCATCAAAAAGACGAGTGAGTGCTTTTAAAATTTAAAATTACTTTATATTTTAGATTTTTTTTTCTTTGTATTTCTATTGAAAATCTATTTTCATCATCTAGAATTTTATAAGTTCAAGACCACCTCTTAAAATTTTAAAAATTCAAATTCACCCCTAATATAAAATCATGCATTCGTCCTTATATGCACTTATATTTCAAATTAATATATTTGACCAACCAAAATTTTTTTAACTAAAAAACTATGAATAGTAATGCAACAAAGGTAATTTTAATTTTATGTCTACTTAGTACTTTAGCCGACAAAATTTATTAAAAAAGATTCTAATTCACTGTCGCAACCGTCTTTCGGGTTGGTCCAGAATTGAGCTTCGACTTAAATAAGTAAGTTAAAGTCGCCATCAATCATTTATTTTAAGAACAAAAATTGGTTGATCATATACCTCAATTTCTTACATGATCTGCATCTTACCAAAGATATGTCGGATTCGGGAGTCAGATACAGTCAAGGAAGGATTAACACCCTTGAACTGCCCTTTCGGTACTAATTTAATTTCCAGACGTCTTAATTGAGAAAATTGCAAGTTAAATTAAAAAGTAAAATTTGATCAAAATTACTTACCTCTGGTCAATTTAAAAGAATACCCTTAAAAAGTCAAAAAGATGTTATATTGGTAAAGTAAAATGATGAAAGCGGAGTTGTATTTAGCATTTGCTGATGCTTTGGGAGTAGTATTTGCAGGGCTGAGAATCGTTACAACTCACAAGTTGGATTCTTAGTGAAACTGTTGAGCTGCAGGTTGGGGTTTTGGGTGATTTTTCTTTGTCGTTGTTTTGTTTCTAGTTATGATTGATGTTGTGAGTTATCTAGAAGAAGTTGTTCGTGGTGCTTCATTCAGTTTTCTGCTGCTGTGTATAGTGGATGTGTGTATTTCCTACAGGGGTAGTAGGTTGCTTCTTTGATGTAGTCTGTTTCGGGCTGTTCTGTGTGTGTAGTTCCCAGCTGTTGTTCTTGTTGTTGTAGGGTTCATGTTGGACCTTCCTTCCATCCCAATGTTCACTCTTTTTCCTCTACTTAGGATTAGAGAGGTTTTTTAATGAGGTCCTTGGGGTGGTGTACTTTGTGAATTCTAATACAAAATAACCATTTTTCAAAAAAAAAAATGATGAATCAAAAGAAAAAAAGAGAGGTTAAATTATGATATTTTAAGTAAACAAAGGAAAAAAGATATATACATGCTGAAGAATTAACAGAAATAAAAACAAATTGTACATATTAAAAACACATAGCAAATTAAAAATAATGTAAGAAAAAAGGTCTATTAAATTAAAGGTAAAGAAAAAATGTTAATTGAGAAATTAAATATAAATAATTACTAGAAAATAAAAAAACTAAATTTAAAAGGAAAATAATAAAATAAAAAAGAACAAAATAAGAACAAAAACCGAATTAAAAAGCAAAGAAAAAAATGAATAAAAAGAAAAAATGGCTAAATTAAAAAAGTAATAAATGAAATAATATAAAAAAACCAAAAAAAAGGTTAGATGAATTAAAAAATAGAAATAGAAAAAATGAAAGAAATAAAAATAATTAAATTAAAACGTGAACTAAATAAAGAAAATATTAAATTAAAAGAAAAGATAAAAGAGGTGATGAATTTAAAAGAAAAAAATGAAATTAAAAGTGCAGAAAAGGATTTATAAATAATACATGGACCATGGCTGTAATTAACCCCAACCCACGTGAAAAACACATTGATCCTAGGGGCTTTGGATCGGGTCACGAGTCGACTATATAACACAAAATTACAAACACTCTAATTCATTTTTCATCCCTTCAAACCGAATCAAAAACCTTTCCCCGTTTTTTCTCTCAACTATTCTTCGCAAACGAAGAACACGACCACCTGGTTTCATAGAGAACCCATAATCCAACCACCTCCGCCTCGCCGCGAAACAATTTTTTTTGAAATCTATTTATGCCCTCTTTTAAAAAATAACCTTGTTTTTTTACGAAATAGCCTCGGGGAGGGCTAGATCTGAGAAAAATATTCTCGAAAACCCTCCCCGATCCTCGACTGTTCTTCCTTTTTTGGGTTTTTTGAGTCAAAAAACAACAAGAAATCAAACAAACGAACCACATGCAAGTAAAATAGACAACCGAGCAAGGTAAAAATGATACTTTTTTTTCGTATTTGCTTTCGAAAGTTACAAGTATCTCTTCGATTTCTCTTGCGTTTTGCTGCTTTTTCTTATGTATTTTTTCCTTATTTTTTGCATTGGGTTTACACCAATTTATAGTCATAGGAATCTCTATTTTTAGTTTGGTTTTAGACTCATATTTAGACACAAATTGCTAACGTCAGTACAACAAAATAGGTTTTTAGCGGCATTTTTTTAATCCTATAGCGGCGTTTATAAGTGCCGCTAAAAACTTTCCCGGTGCTTGCAAAAACGCCGCAAGAATAACGAGCGCTACAATTGTTAGCGGCGCAAATGCCGCTATTGAATGTGTATTTAGCGGCTTTTGTCTTTACAAACGCTGCTAATGATTGTTTATTTAGCGGCGTTTGTAAATACAAATGCTGTTATTGACTGTGTATTTAGCGGCATTTATCTTTATAAACGCCGCTATTGATTGTGTATTTAGCAGCGTTTGTCTTTACAAATGCTGCTATTGACTGTGTATTTAGCGGCGTTTGTATTTACAAACTCCGCTATTGATTGTGTATGTAGCGACGTTTGTCTTTTCAAATGCCACTATTGACTGT